ATTTTAATTGCCTAGTGTTGATTCATTACTTTTGATATATTGAACATATGCATTTGGGTAGAACATTCAGCTATGAGTTTGGATATATACATAGTTGTTTAGTTTCCCTGGATTATCTCATTACAGAATATTCTTACAATTAATACACATTACAAAATTAATGTAATGTTAATTCTGTAATGAGATAATTCTGTATATTAATAATAATATACAACTACAAAAGAATATTCTGTACATTTAGAAATATTTTAATTTTTAAAAATATTTTAAAACCCATGAGGACAACTACAGATAAAGTTCTTCTCATTCCTGATTGCTAGGTCTTCTCATTCCTGATTGCAATAATATGCATATAATATAGTTATAAACAGGAGAGATGTTTTTGAGGTCGCTTTGGAGATTAACACATCTGTTTCACGTAGAGTGCCAGCGTTGCTCATTCACACGGCTGTAAATCAGAACCAACCAATATTTTCCATGTGTTTTCAAAATGAATTCTTTAATCTATCCACAGTGCACCTTTCAACACCACAATGTAATAATTGTGAAGGTTGTTGAAAGATTCTTTATCTGCGCATTCATAATTCAAATGAGTGAGGTGATTGGATATATCTCAAAGGCAGCATGTCCTCTGGTTGTCCCTTTAAAGCTGCTAGTATTTTGTATCCATTGCAACCTGAAAGCAGCAGTCATAAGATACAAAAAATATGATCAGAAGTCAAGAGTTTGATTTTTCCATGTGTCAAATTCAGTGTTGAATTGCTAAAAGTTTTAACACCCTAATTGTGAAGTCATTTATTTTATTCCAGCTTTCCTCAGGAGCTATGAATTGCTACAGGATGGCAGCAGTTTATTTAGCCTTAAAACGCATCAAATGTTTCTGTCTTCCCATCCCCCATGACTGTTTGGTGCTAATTGCCTTCAAAAATGATCTTAGTGAAGAAGGCAGGAGAATGCTTATACAGCAGTTCACTACAAGCATTAAGAATTTTAATTGTGCTAGATAAACATGACAGGCAATTATTGAATGTTGTTACATACTGGAAAATAAAAATGGAATGCTAAACATCATATTCGGTTGCAGTTTTGTCTCAGTGCCTGAATTTGTCTTTTAACAATTTAATAGGCTGCATTTTATTTGAGAGATGTTTTCTTGAACACGCTATTGGAAGATTATACATAAAAGTGTTAAGTGTTACTACTTGATGATACAGTGTGAATCAGTCTGAGGTCATGCATGTTAAATCTCACTAACGCCCTAATACTTCAACAGATAAGGTGGAAAGGATTTCCATTTATCTGTTACCCTGTGAAGCAGTGACATGAAAGATTATATGTTTCTACTTTCCACTATAATTACTAAATAACACAAGGTTAGAGGTTTACTTTTACAGTCATTTTGAAATTTAATAAAGTGGGAAGATGGAGTTCTTACAGAAATATTTCAGTAACATTACCTTTGAAATACTAATGTCCTTTTGCTAAAGTTATTAATAATATTTGAAATTAATTGGGATTTAAAAATATTATTGGACTTTTACAAACATTAAACCTTTTGGTGACAGAATAGGACTGATTTGAAATTACTTTAGACATTTAGACATTGATTCTATTTCTTAAACTATTATTATACAACACAAAGCTATTATATTAAAAAATTATTACTGTCCCTATTAGGAGTTGCATTTTTAAGCATCTCATGCTGTTTTAGGTAAACTCATTTATTGGCTGTGCTCTATGAAAAGGGAAATGGAATTTGAAATATAGTTCAACTCCAAATAGTAAGATAACCTTCTGTTTTCTCACCTCAACCCATAATTAAAGTCGAAGTATAAGATTTAAGTAGATCACTATAAGCTCCCTGAAAATTGTTATGCTTTTCAAAATTCTAGTAAATATGATTGTAAAGCACTCCTTCAGCTCTTTATTGGACATTTTTTTGATCAGTATCAATACTCCAAAAGTGTTCTTCAATATCAGAAGTGTATTCAAAACTTAACATTTCGCATCTTCTTTCTGTCTTCACTGTTTCATAGCTGACAAAACCCTAAGTAGCACATCTGCCTTCTTGAAGATTATCTGATATTTATTCCTACTTTTAAAATTACAGTTGGCAAACAATATTATATGAGTTTCAAGTTTAATGGCTTAGATATTTGTATAACTTATAAAATGATCACCCAGATAAGTCTAGTACCCATATGGCACCATACTAATTCTCTCTTTTGAAATTTCTGTAGTTACATCCTCCTCTTCATGCCAAATTTGTGATTCCATCTTTTAGGGGAAAAAAAGAAAACCTTTTATACTTCATTTACAATTAGGAATTGTTATATGCATACTGTCTGTACTTTTAGTCTGTATTCCAGATAATTTATGATAAGATAAAGCCAGGAAACACTGTATAATAAATTGGCTAGCTTTTTAACACTATCTCAACCCAGGGCACTTTGGGCACAAGCTTATATATTATATTTGTCATATTGGTGTTTAGGTGGTCTTATTTCACTCTAATAAAAAAAAATCAATGTTTGTTGGCTCTTTCTACCTAGATTAAAAAGAATAAAATACTTAGAAATAAATTTAACAAAAGAAGTGCAAGGCTTCTACACTAAAATCTATAAAATGTCACTGAAAAAAAATTAAAGAGGACCTAAATAAGTGGAAAGAGTTAGCTCTAAGTTTAAATAATAATTTTGAAGTGGACTACCATAATAACCACCTTTTAATTCAAGAAGAAGAACGTCATAACCAGGGCCTCAAAATTGCCCCATGTACCACTTCCAGAATTAACAGTTTCTTTGGACATTATCCCTTATTCATTTATTTTTAATGGTTTTTATTTTATTTTTATTGTACTCTTTTCATTACCATTTAGTCCCCTTATACCCCCTACGCCAAACAATCACCACGCTGTTGTCCGTGTCCATGCGCCCGTTTTCCTTTCTGCTCGATCCCTCCGCTCCCTCACCCCCGCCCCCACCCCCGCCATCATCCCGCTCTCCATCTGTGAATCTGTCTCTATTTTCCTTGGTTGTTCGGCTTGTTCATGAGATTCCACACGGGAGTGAAATCACGTGGTATTTTTCTCTCTCTGACTGACTTACAGTATCTTTTCAGGAATTTTTTTCTTTTTTTTTTCTTTTTTCTGAATTCCTTTATAATTTACTCAGCTTGTCAAAGGATTTACTAGGGATATCTTGTGTTCTGAGCATTCTTCTAGACCCTGAAGGTGCTTATGTCCTAATGATGAAGATAACTAATACATACATAAGGAAATAACACAAATTTAATACTAACTGAAGGTAGAAAGTAATGATGGCTTGAAGATAATATAATAATTGGGGTATATATTTGAATTAGACTGACTTTACAAGTCATGTACAGGGATTGTTAAGATGGCAATACTCCCAAATTGATCAAGCTATTAAACACATTTCTTATCAAAATGTTAGCTTTCATTTGGGGCAAATATTGACAAGCTGATGCTACATGCATACAGAAATGCAAGGGACCCAAAAGAATGAAAATTACCTTTAAAAAGGAGAATGAAGTAGGAGAACTCATACTTCCTGATTTCAAAATTCAAGATGTTAGAGTAATCAATACAGTGTTATACTGGCATAGAGATCGATAGAATGGCATTTAGAATTCTGATATAAACCCTACACTTATGCTCAATTGATTTTCAACAAGGCACCAAAGCAATTCAGTGTAGAAAGAATAGTCTTTTCAACAAACAAACCTGGGAAAACTTGATAATCACATACAAAAGAATGAAGTTGGATGCCCTAACTTTTATTATACACAAAAATTAACTCAGCTGAATCTTATAACTAAATATAAGAGCAAAAACTATAGAACTCAGAAGAAAGTATAGGTGTAAATCTTCATGACTTGAATTGGGTAATGGTTAATGAGATATGGCATCAGAGATCAAACAACCTAAAAAAAATAAATTGGATTAGTATTGAAAACTTGCATTCTTATTACATACCATATAACATTTTAAATTAAATGTTCAAGTTAAAACTATACATTGTTACACCCATATTACTACCCTACTAACAACATTCAAGCAGGCGTTGCTTTTGCCGAACCCTGTATTTGCCTTGAGAACAATCGTGATAAATTGATGTAGTGAAATGCCAAGTTGATGATAAGGGACTATTCAAGGAAAATGTTCCCATTTCTCAAAACAAATCTGTAAGCTGTTAAGTTAATTGGCTGTGTGATTTGATGGAATGAATACTGGACTAACCTTCAGAAAACCTCTCCTCACAACTCCCTGTATGACCTTACACTTGTCAATTATCTCTCTGCATTTCTTTTCTTATCTGTCCAGTGGAATATCAATACCAGCCCAATACATTTTATAAGATTTTCAAGTGAATCAAATGAATATATGATGTGAAGATGCTTTGAAATTGACAGCCCTATAAAAATAGGAGACATTATTTACCTAACACCCTTCATTTTTCTTCTTCAGACTTGATTTTCAAAGAAAGGGAAACATAAGGTGCTAAGTTAAATGGTTCCTTTTGGATAGTGATTGAAAGGGTCTGGCTTTCTTCTTGAGGAAGAACATTGCCTGAGCTCAGAAACTTGAACTTACGTGACATTAACAGATAGGGTTTGTAGAAAACTGTTATAATTTTTTTTAATGAATCATTATGGCAAAATGAGAATGATATGGCAGCAGACAGGTTATTGTCAATTAAACACGAGCTGTCAGAAAGTCCAAAATGTTAAAATATGGTGAGCGTGAATCCTAAGCAGATCATATGGCAGCTGCTCAGCTGTTATTTTAACAGAGTTGCTGTATGTATGTGTCATTTTCCTGCAAAATTTAACTTGAATCCTTAATGACGGAGACCCCTCTGCATTTGCATGTTGCTGTCATATCAAACTTGGACCTTCTAAATGAGCTAGACTGGTGGGTGGTAGAGAGCGAGCGACATTTGGAGGAGACAGCTCTCGTCTCCTTTTCCTCCACTCAGGTTACATCGAAGAGGCCTGCATCATCCCCTGCCCCTCCGACTGCAAACTCAGTGAGTGGTCCAACTGGTCCCGCTGCAGCAAGTCCTGTGGAAGTGGCGTGAAGGTTCGGTCTAAATGGCTTCGTGAAAAACCATATAATGGAGGAAGGCCTTGCCCCAAACTGGACCATGTCAACCAGGTATTTTCTACCATTGGGAATAATAAAGTATTGTGACTTAGATTGATAATGACCTATTTTTTTCTAAAGTGAACAGAAGTAGTAGCCTCTGGAATAGAAATTTGACCCATGTTATCCTCAGAATGCCTGGTTTAATATACGTATATTGTTAAAATCCCAAATCAGAGATATCACTTCTGTATCACAAAGAGATATAGTACCCTGCATATATATATATATGCATATGAATATAATTCAATTAAAATAAAATGAAACTTACCTTTGAAATAATGTCAAGGTATTTAACCTGTCATAAAATGATATCTAACGTGTGTTAAGAGCAAGATTGTCTCATTCTTAGAGTTCCCCTAGACTCTTAGAAAACACATTTCAATTACCAACTACTTAAAATCAAATAATGTGTATTGATTCAGGTCTAAAATTAGGAAATATATGCCATGCATTAGTTTAAATTTGGTTTATAAAATATGTTTAAAAATTTGAAGATGGCCTCAAAGTCACAGTAAGTATGTTATCTATCAATTTACACTGACCTTTTTAATTCTATTTTGAACTTTATTTGACTTCAGATGTACTTTGTTAGTTGCTAGTAATAGTTGTTACTTGTGTTCTATTGGAAATACAAAGTAAAAAGCTAATGTAATATAATGCATCAGATGATTACTATGATGTTTGGCCTGCATGTGAATTACAAAGAAAGAATTTCATGTGGTATGGGTAGATATTAAGGTGTATATTTAATTCAAATGAGCCAAGTCATGTATAGGCGCCAACCTTAAATATGTAGATATATTTTGTACATACATAGACCAATTTCAATCTTCAAACACACTGCTTACCAGGACACAAACTTTCCTTCCTAAATTAACCTATATTTGTTCATAAAAATAAAAGTACACCATAGAGAAAATGAACTTTTGAATAAAGAAATTAGGGAGAAAGTGTAGGATTAAATTCCATAGAAAGTACTCTGAAAGAAATTTGATTTTTCCTCAATTAGCTGAATAGCCCTTCGATGCAACTGGAAGTGAGCAACATACTACACTGCTGCCATCTATTGGTAACCAAGCTTCCCTGCCCTATGGAGTATTTCCAAAGGATAGTTCCATGACCCTAATGAAATAGAACGATTCAAATGTAATATTTGTAATACAAAACAATATTTTTCTGTAAGTTTCAAACTTGAATTTCTAATAGAAAATGTAAGTTATAATAAATTTTGATCCATGTTTCTAAGAAAAAGAGCTTGTCTTTAATCATGAACTTGCAGAGATTCAAGACCTTGTGCCGAGTATCTTTGCTATGAAAGCCTTTCCCCTAAGCCATTTCTCTGTCACTCTCTAACTCTAATATAATCTAATGCATCGTTTGATAAGAAAATCTGGGTATGTGGTATCAGCTTATTGGTTGTATATTGGGACATTAACAATTGAAAAATGAAAGCCAAAACAAGAAATAATACATTCCTGAATATATGACTTTGAACATAAATGTTCTACATTTAAAAAAAAGAAACTTTTAAGGATTTAAATATTAGTACAATATCACAAAAGTAAAGAATATGCAGTGGTCTGTGTCAATGTTGAAAACTGTAAATCACATAGAATTTTTACAATTATACATTCCTCAATATAACTGGTAGTACCTTGACTTGAAAATAGTATTTGAGGTTCTATTTTCCAATTGAGAAAGCAAATCCTCATTTCTTAAGAAATAATATGGATGGACTTAACAATTTACCTATAGATGGAGAGTCCCTTCATGATTTGATCCACAAGACATTTGAAGTTATGTACCAGTTCCCCGTGATAAATATTTTGAGGTCTATCTTCATCCCACCACCTAATACTGTCCTTGACTCTGTTGATTCCAGTAGTTATTTATGGCTCTGAATTTTAAATAATGAGTTGGACTTTCTTTCTCAAGGCCTAAGAAACATGTTCTAATTATTTACAAAAAACATAGGCTTTTCTATAGGGATAATAATATTTGGAACTTGGAACATGAGTTTTTCTCATTAAATATTCTGACATTTTACTTTTCTTTGTTTCTCTCCCTGTTCTTGATTCCTGTTGAATATAACGACTCCAGGCACAGGTAAGAATCCCTAAACCTCATGATTTATAACAGAGTGCTGCTTGTTTTCTGTTTTATCAATGATTTTGTACAATTCTTTCAGAATGTACTTTTTCCTACAATGGTCTTTTATCTTTTACAGGGAGAAACTCTCATATTTTCCATAAAATGTATGTTCTGCAGTTGTTCCCTTTTTATTTCCTAGCACGCTACCTATGTTTTCTGATTCTATGTAGAATCAGGGCCTGGGATGCAGAGTGGGGAAGAAGCTTTACTTCACAAGTCTTGACAAGGCACTGACACCTGCTGCTAATGATCTCATGCTTCTTCTCAGAGGGGGAGAGTAAAGAGGCAGGAGAGCTGAAAGGAGATGGCAGGAGGGTGCTCTGAACTGATTTGTATTCGCTCCAATGTAGAAGACTCAAATGCAAGCCATCAAGGGATTAAGAAAGATGGCATTTCCCTTTCAACCTTTCTCACCCCACAGCTTGTAACATAATGTTTTACGCAGTAGAAATGTCATATTTTAATACAGCACCCAATGTGAATGTGATCACTTCTGACAATAAGTATAGATTCTTACTCTAGCAGTGCACATATTTATTATTATTTGGAATAAATTCACTTTGTCACCTGGGTATTCAGGCCACTAAAATTTACACAAAGGAATAGCTCCAAAGGACTATATAAATCTGTATCTTCTGTAATTAGCTACATAAGACACTCATGTGCTATAGTGTGTATGTGTGTGAAATAAGAAATAGAATAAATAAAATAAATAAAAATATAGATTTTGAAATGATTTTTAGAAACATTTTTCTATAATAATTGAGTCAGCTTTGTTGTGGTGGATTACAATCTATTTATTTCCTTTATTTAGTCTTTAGTCTCACTGAGAAAAGAGCATAATTGTTCATTTTTCTAAAAATCCTGAAACTAAACAAATCACATCAAACTTGGGGCTGAAAACTTTCATGGATACCTGTGAATAATTTGCTTTGTTTCAGAGGGTCCTCACTGCCTTAGGCTGGAGCTGTGCAATATGAGAACAATTTCAGACCTTGCTTCCAAACCCTAAATGATTCAGGGTTCATTTAAAGATGTCTTCATTTCATGTTATTTATATTTTAATTTAGTTTCAAAAATGGAACATAAAAATATTTTTTGTTCTTACACATATTTTTAAACCCAAATTATATTTATTTGAAAATAGCTATTTTTATACATTTATTTAATTAATTCATTCATTATTCATTCATTCATTTATCTACCAAATCTCTATTGATTGCCTAACATACAAGTACCCTGGAGTAAGTACTGAAGACACTCAAAACTGGAAATAAGACCTAAAGGCCCAGAAAATTACAATACTTTGTGGTAATATTGCCGGTGTTTGGGATCTTTGGGTTCCCTAAGTTAGAAATCAAAAACTACCAGAAACACTTCTGGACAAATTTTGTTAAGCGAATGTCGCAGCTCAAGAGAGGCAGCACAGAGGAAAGGAAGGTCCTCTGAACTGACTCGGGGAGGGGGTTGGCTCTGCTTGGCTTCTTTTATGAGCTGGAGACAAGGCAGGCTTGGCACAAAGGTGGACATTTGGAAAAAGGCGGATTTGAGAAATTTTCCATGTCAAGGTCAAGCTACTTCGGTCTGCTGTCCCGTTGCTTAGCAACTGTCTTAGCACCTGGGAGGGCCAAGATGGCAGACTGATCACTCCCGACCCCTAGGAGGGTCATAAAGCAGTCAAACCTCCATCAACCGCATGTGCATGCAGAACAGTGGCTTCCACTTCTGCAACCAAGTAAGCAGTTCTAAGGGAGATAAACGAGGCTACTTCATTCTTGGGCCAGGAGGAGCCGAGGCGGGGGCATTTGTGCAGTCAGCTTATCCGATGTTACGGCTGTCTGTCACTCCCCCCGCGCCAGGCCCAAGGCTCCCTGCTGTCTCAATCGGGGTCGCTCCAGGAAGTCAGGTCACCTACCGAATGTGGTCCAGCGGGCCACATCTATAAGCAACAGAACACAGCACAGCTAGTTCTGCCCTTTTGAGTACTAGAACTCTCAAGCAATTTCAAATAACAATGGAGAGAAATAAAAGTAGCTAAAATAAGAATATGATGATTATTATGATGTAAAGACTTCCCACTCACTCTCATCAGGGACCTGAGATGAAATAACTGAGAACTGTGTGTCTTTCAGGTGTATGAGGTCGTCCCCTGCCAGAGTGACTGCACTCAGTACCTGTGGGTCGCAGAGCCGTGGAGCGTCTGCAAGGTGACCTTTGTGAACACGCGGGATAACTGTGGAGAGGGCGTGCAAACCCGAAAAGTGAGGTGAGGCCAAGCCGAACTGCACAGAGGAGCAAAACACATACCTCCTCCCAGTTTCATACCTGCCAACGTGAGCGTCCACTCCTTCCCAAACTCCTAATTAACTGCCTTTAGTTTTATTTTTATGGAATCTTTGTTCATGGAAAACTCTAAAAGGATCTGCTTTGAGCAGCAGTTTGTCAGACTCAGCCTTCTAATGTGGGAAGCTTCGCTCTGAGGTGCTTGTTCTTGCAAAGAAGTGTCTCATATTGAATTTGAGCTCAGCCAATGCAGATTTTCAAACCCAAATAATTTTTTCCTCAAGGCCAATAGACTTCTAACTGCATTTTAACAATAATCTATTGTAAACTTTTTCTCCTTTACATAAAACTGGCTAATTTTTTAATACTTTTGTCTTCTAGGAAGCCTTCCTTAAAGCTCCATTGCCTCTCATTTCGTCTGTGGCCACATTGTTTGGTAGAAGAGCGGCCATTTTCAATTTAAACTAATTAAAATTAAATAAAATTAAAAATGTGTTTTCTCAGTCACACTAGACACATTTCATGTGCCCGATAGCCACCAGTGGCTAGAGGCTATTGTACCAGACAGCGCAGTATTTCTGTCATGAGTTCTACCGAGGGGTATTGTTCCGTGCTAACCCAGATAGCCTGCGCTGTTTTACAAAGATCTTTTCACATGCCTGTCACTGTTATGATTCCCCAGAAGTTTCTCTATACTGAAATCCTTTCGTATTTATAGACATTCCCTAACACCTAATACAAGCTTGACACTTATTGAATTTTCTCTACAGCCTTTGCATAGGATCTTAAGGGTTCTAGAACCTGGGAAACAAGTGTATGAAGTTTATTATTTCCACTTCATGGAGCAGATTCACAAATACTAACTTACCAAGAACACATGGTAGTACATACTGTTGGCATTCAAACTCAAGCCTCTTTTCACTCTATAACTATACCAGTTTCTTCTAACGGAGCTAAATGACACACAGTGAGACAAATATAAAACCATCTAGAACTTGTAACACGTGTTGTAAAGAAGCTCATTTTCACCTATGACCAAACTTTCATGAATTCAGGATTCATATATTTAATATGCTTTAGTAAGAAGGTAGAACCAATTAACGTTTATAGCTTAAAATCTTGTCACACTGCATATAACCTTGCTTCCAATAAAAATATCTACTTCTTTTTTCAAAAGCCCATCTGAACTCTCATTTTTCTGAGGAAGTTTTTTTTTTGTTTTGTTTGTTTGTTTGTTTGTTTGTTTGTTTATAGTGGATGGGGAGTGGGGATGTAATGAGTTGATAAGGAAACAGGGAGAAAAAAAAGAAATTCTGTTTTCTACCCTTGTCCTTCAAAATTTAAAATTTCGCTTGCAATTTTAAAATACTTTCCTTATATTCATAATTCAATCAGATTGGCTTTTTGGTCAGTGAAAAATATATATAATAAAGAACTATGGTTTTTTCAGCTTCCCCTTCAACCATCTGTGTACATATTTCTTCTTTTTTCTCTGTGAATGGATATTCTTAACATTTCCAAACACATCCTAAACTAAGCAACTTTTCAGGTCAACTTATTTTTTCAGTGAACATTTTTAATGCAAATAGAGAAATGAGAAGATCAGCATTGATTGTGATCCCTGATCACATAATGTTTCTTTACTGATTGTGTATCTCCCTAAACTTATCCTCAGCTAATTAAGGTCAAAACGTCCTTCTTAGATGCAAGCATCAGGTGACATTTTAGGGCACATGAGTCTATAAGAGAGCAGGATTTAGTATATCCCATCTTGTTCTTTCTCTTTGTAGAACAGTATGACATTTCAAAGATTGGGTGATAAAAGTGGTTTGCCCTGGTAGGAAGAGATATTTTTTCCACTGGCATTTTTTTTTAAGTACCAGCCCATTGTGATTAAAAAACAACAACAACAAGAACAAGAACAACAAAAACAGTGATTTGGTTATTTTTATTTTTTCTTTTGAATTCTCTGCCAACACTGCATCTCTGACAGCTATGGCTGTGATGGGCCTCTGGCCCTGCCTTTGGCCTACTGGACTTGATTCTACACTATGTTTTCTAATGCAGGTCAATTTTCTCACAGCATAAGTCCGTTTCATACAGAAAGGGGAAAGGCTAAGAATTTGAAAAAAGCAAATGAACTTACAGTGCCTTCCTTTTGGGTCAAAACTTGATCCAAATACTTATTCTCTATTCTAGAGTGATTTAAAAAATCATTTATACCAAATAACATAAATAAAACAAATAATTTGAATGTCAACAATAAAAAAAGTTTTTAGCAATTGTGGCACATTCAAACGATAGAATTCAAATGTAGTCATTAAAAAATTGTATTTTAGAAAAATAGTTAACAACATGAGCTGTCTATAACATTATTATTTTTTGTTATTTATATGAACAGCAGGGAAAGTGTTCTTGTATTTAACAAAATGAAAATATATGCTTAAATATAATTGTTAAGAGTGGTTCTCTCTGATTGAATCATGTGAATTTTTACTATTTATTCTTACTTTCCTGAAATGAATATGTTACCTTTACAATAAAAATCAAAAGAAAAGCCTCTGAAAATAAAGTTTTATGTACATTGCTACAGAATAGAATATTTACCATCGGTCCTTAATTCTGAATCAACAGGTAACTTTGTAAGTTAATCCTTGTACAGTGTGTCAGTTCCTACCGTGATTGCAATCTTTTCTTAGCAGCAAACCCAACTTTGAGTATTGAGCTGTCCCGTTTGTTCCATGTGCTTTCAAAGCCGTTCTCAGCAGAGCACTTTCTAAAATGCCATTGAAGGTAGAACTTTTTTATTCCTGAGAAACTAAAATTCTCCCAAAGACATTTATAATTTAATTTTTTTATTTCAACAATGAAATCAAATAAATATCTAACTTTATGGAGGGGGTATGATTGCTCTCTTGCTCTCTTATAGTCATGCAATTTACAAAAAAAAAAAATGCAGAGGAGGACACAACCTAATTCAGATATGACTAGCCACACAGTTTTCTAGTCTGAATCATCTCACAGGAAAGCAACATTTCTCTTAAATTGGGCAGCATTGTATAGAGAGGCTATTCTGCAGAGTAGATATAGAAGACACAATGTCTCTACTGGTTGTAGAATTGCTGAAAAGAGTTGAGACTTCAGGTACGATGGGTAATGTAATTCAACTACCAGTTTAAAACATCCCAGTGGGTTTGAGAGCTCTGAGAGCTCAAGCCTCCCCTTTTCATCTCCTGCAATGCAGCTCTGTTCCTATACCCATTAATTTGGTTGACCTTTCCAAGTCAGAGATGAGGGATAGTTTTTCCCTTCCAGTAGAAAAGCGCCCAGAGAGATTAAATATGGCACATGTGAAGTCTAGTACTGGCCACATTAATTAGGTTCCCAAGAGGTGAGTGAAGAGCCCTTCATGACTGCTTACAACAGAATGAAATGTAATAAAATGTTTGAATTTGTTCTGTCAGAAAGAAAACTAACCATAAAAAGGTCAAGATAGGAAGATCCAAACAACCTCGTTTACAGATTTTGTGCTATTACTATGTTATAATTGTCTTTTCACTTCTTGCTTTCATTAATTATTAGCAGATGGGAGGGTTAATGCTTTTTTATTTGACAAAACAATTTGATAAATGCCATCAGTTACTTTCAAAAACACTTTATGAAACCTCTCACTAGCAGATTTCAGTGTGCCTAGCCTTCCGCAATGTATGAATCTACCTTCACTGCAGAATCCACCATTTTGTTCAGAAGAAAAGAAAATTGTTATGTTCCAAAACTGCAACCCTTCTATAAATCTCTTTGGACCATTCCTCATTTGTACACATCATATATGAGAGTACATGACCTTCTCCTTTCAAAGGAAGACATACGGAGTTTATATATACACAGTGGCTATAATTTTTAAAAATTGCAATGATACATAAAAGGATAAGTTTTAAAATCATACTGTAGCTCTACAAGCATTTATGAGAGGCAGAGATCCTTTTAATCCTTTTATATCTTCATGTTCAAAGAATTTTATTCATTAAATGCACAACTTTCCACCCCAGCACCCCCAACCCCATAATGATGTCTTAAGATGAACCACCTCTCCTATGGGTTGACCATTGTTATAACTGTCCTGGTTCCTTCACTGATGGATAGGTATGTTTTCTTCTAGATGCATGCAGAACACAGCAGATGGCCCTTCTGACCATGTAGATGATTACCTCTGTGACCCAGAAGAGATGCCTCTGGGCTCCAGAGAATGCAAATTACCATGTCCTGAGGATTGTGTGATATCTGAATGGGGTCCGTGGACTCGGTGCATTTTGGTGAGATGATTAGCCATTTATTAATATAGAGTTTGCCTAATTCCTTACCACTAAAGCTTTAAAGACATTATTAAGAAAATCATAGTTACTAAATTAGTTACCAAATTAATTACCAAAGCAAAGTGTGTTTTCTTGGCTACTTCATTCCCTGCCTGTTCCACTTAAAGTCAGCAATATTTCGACTCACACTAGAACAGCTGGACCTCTTCCAAGCTTTATACTCCGCCTCCATCCTCCTAGCCCAGCACAAAACGCCTTCAGATGGGCTTATAAACACACAGCAGGGTAAAAACTGCAATGTTGATAATGACAACCTCCAGGTAAAGGGACAAAGAATGAAGCTGTAGTAAAGGTACTTTAATGGTGTTAGGTTATTGTCATCCCTTGCTTTTTGCCTGGTTCATTTTATTTAAATTGTAGGAATAATCTTTCACACAGTAGGGGTTCTGCCGCAGGAGTTTTGACACTGAAACGCTGAAGGTCCTGGTAAGAGAGGGCGCAGAAAGAAGGAAGCTGTGCATCAGTGAATCTCTTTCCACACGCTGACTCTGTGTCTCTTCGGGCCTGGGAAGCCAGGGGAAAGTTTCAAATCATGCAAAGCTTCTAGATTTCAACAGCCCATAGGGGCTCTTCCCGGGACCCTGGGAAGACTCATTTGAAACAGAACTGGCTGATGATGTGGAAAATTGGGTTTACCCCTGGGCACTTTTATAGAGTTGCACATTTCAAAATGGCATCAGAAGCATAGGGAAAATATATGTAATGTGAAATTAATCTTTTCAAATATAAGACAGTTTCAAAAAATTTATAATGGATGTTTTCAAGGAAAAAATTAAATTTTTCTCTTAGTGCTAACATTATTAAAGGAGCTGATTAGCAGCCAATTGATAGAGCGGGAGCAAACAGGGGCTGGCAGTTGACTTGGACACATTTAAATTGTAATAAAGAAAGAACTGTTTCGCAAGTGTATGCAAATGATTTTCTAACTCTATTAACATCAGGTTTGAAGTTACTGCCCCTGTTCTTAGAAGCCAAAAGTTTTCTGAACAAGACTGTACCAGCAGAAGAATGCAATCCAGGGTTTTTAAGTGCTGTGTTTGTGTGCCTTAAGAAAACAAAAGTCACCAGCAGCTAATTATTTAAAGTCACCCTTAAAATGGGTTTTTTGGGACCAAGAGACTGTATTACATATGTGATAAATAGATGATAGATAGATAGATAGAAAATTTCTGTATTACTGATTTACAATAATTACTATTACAGCACATATGTGTTTGAGTACCTGTGGTGTGATATATCTATTAATATTTGACATATAGATCCTTAAGCATCTTATAGCTAGATGGAACATGAGAAGCTCAGGCACCACTTTGATCTTTTAGAAGAAATGGAAGTGTAATGAGATCATTCAAGTTAGCCAGCGCCCCGCATGCTAACTCCTGGTGCAGTGCTCTCCCTAACACATCCACTCTTGTGCGGCTGAGTGTTCACTGTTCACCTTTCCGAGGATTGTGTTATTCTCTGTCAGCCTTGCAATCAAAGCAATTTCCGGCAAAGGTCAGCTGATCCCATCAGACAACCTGCTGAGGAAGGAAGAGTCTGCCCTGATGCTGTTGAGAGGGAGCCCTGCAACCTGAACAGGAACTGTTTCCACTATGATTATAACGTAACAGGTATGCGGACAGTCACCTCATTACAGAGTTAGAGGCCAAAGCCTGTGTGTGAGCGCAGCAGCGTGCTGTGTGTTCACCTCTGACTGTGTGCCTTTTGAACATGCTGCTTACTCTCCCAGAAAGAATTCTTTATTAAGTGACAGATATTTATCTATTATATATTTTAATAAACATCAAGGTACAGATAATGAAAATATCACACAAGCATTAGCCCTACAGTATATTGTGAATAGTCTAATTGATCCTATTTAAGACATCCTCCCACTTTGGAAGGTGTAACTAAGATACTTTTCTTATGGGTATCAGGTTTATTGAAATATATCTTTCTTCTTCAGAAGACGTTGAACTGCTATAACATACTGGGATCACAATTCTTTGTGTGGACAGTTCACAGCATGATTGGTCCCAAGTGAAAACAGCAGCAATAGTACCCTTGCCAAAAAGTATATAATTATGACTACTTCAGTATTATCAAAGGTACAGATAAAAATGGATAGATGAGTATTTTTTTTCAGAAGAAAAAGGCTTATTATAAATTCTGTTTGTTTTCCCTAACCCTCACCTCCTACCATTAAGGCACATACTCTCAGAAAGAAGAGAGTTTGTTGGCTTATATGATGGGGAAACACTGAAGCTTATTTTGGAATTTCTTCAAGTAATATTCACAGTGCTATAAACTGCAGAAATTGTACAGTGATACACAGCAGTCAGGTTGGCTTTTGTTTCTTCTGATTTTTCTCTTCAGGTTTCTTTGATGACACAATGAAATGATGGTTCTTTGAGATAAACTTTGTTACTCTAAAAAGAAAAAAATGAAATAAGAGAATTAAACATGAGCAAAGTGATTTGAAATATATAAGTACACATTTTAAAACATGCTATGTATGGAATTAAGTGACATGCAGCATTCTATTTGAACATAACACAATTAAAGTACTATATTAAAATTATCAATACTTTCCTAAAAAGAAAAATAATGTTAAAATGGAAATTTCTTCTTTATTAGGAAAAAAAGTTTTTAAGTGATATTTAATCACTTAAATATCACCTGCAGGCCAAAGCCATTTTCACAATAGCACCAAGTGTCAAGATTGTACAGTGGACATCTGCCTTCCAGAATAACCCCTGTGGCTCCATGCAACCCCAGCAATTCCATTTGACTCCTTCAGTGTTCAAAGCTGGGACCCATATGCTCTGCATGTTGGATGATTGATTGTACAGCTTAGGAAGCAGTTGTGAATTAAATATGGAATTTGGGTTATCAGAGTTCCATTTGAAATCTGTGTCTTCTGTGGCCCTCTGTTCTGATGGGCTCCCCTCCTTTCAGATTGGAGTACGTGTCAGCTGAGTGAAAAGGCAGTTTGTGGAAATGGCATTAAAACAAGGATGTTGGACTGCGTTCGAAGCGATGGCAAGTCGGTTGACCTGAAATATTGTGAAGAGGTGAGGGGATGCTGTGTTATATCTTTGTGAGTAATTTCTTTCCTAATAATTTCAGTTCATGCTGAGCCAGGTGACCTGTGCTCCATGTAGCTCATTGCCAGCAGATGTTTTTCTGCACTATTCAGAGGCTGTTAAACACCCTCTTGAAAAGAGACACTGTCCAACACTACTGATTTCTATACACAATTTCCTGTATTTTGTTCTGCTTGGAATGTAAAGGTATGCTAATTATCCTTTTCTGAGAGAAATGCTTGGGGAACAATAAGTAATCAAGGTGAATATAGGCAATAAATCTTAATCAGACTACTCATCATCTTTGTAATTTCATTTGAATTTTGTGTTGCCTGGGACACCTGCCAAGATCCATCATTCATTCTCTCTGTTGCTAAACATTGATCGCATGTGGTTTTGTAGCAGGTTTTGATATTAGTGTGTAATCCCCAGCTGTGAGAGTCCAGGTACTCAGGTGTGGATAAGAGAGAGCTTGAAATTCAAACAAAGGAATGGAGTCTGCCATTAGTATCTTGCAGGTACAAAGAATCATAATTCTTAGTTCCTCACTTTATAAAAGTAATGTCATCATTTCTAGATATGACCTTATGAAATGTGAGGAAACAGCTTAGTTTTCACGAAGCTACACTTCATGTTTTAATTATTTTGTCTGATTTCTAAACCAGAAGGGTACCCACATTCCTGACAGGTTTTGACTCCTCCTGAGTCTGAGACCCCCTGGGTTAAACATGAACCAAGATAAACAGAAGCCTCAGTAGATCTAGAACACACAGGAAGAGCTTATAACCTCATTAGGGTTCAGTAGACATGGTAACCACAACGTCTATCTGCATATCTTGGCAGTTATTATAAGCCCATGGTAAATTGTTCCAACTCCTGATGGAAAACTTGAGATAAAAATATATTAATCCATTTGATACCTTTATCATGTAGTCCTAACTTAATTTCCTTATGTCTCTGTCCATGTGAACATGGGAACAGAGCTCCCAAATGTGCTGAAGACAAGTTGTTTAGTTAAAAAATTTCTTATTATCATCCTGTTAGCACAACTTAGTCCATTCATACTTTCAATTTAATTAGATATTTTATGCCTGAATCAATTTTGAAACTAATAACATTAAAGTATTATACCTATTATAAAAATAACATTATTATTAATTAATATTATTATAGTCATGCACTGGCTGGAGAACTCTCTGTGATCTACTTCTAGTCAATTAATATATCTCTTTTCTTGCAAAGTCACATATTAATGCCTGCCTGAGTCAGAATAAAATATACAGTGATAGCTCTAAGAGCTTTTTGAAAGCCAAACCCAATCACACAAGACCAATTTTAAAATAGCTCATATGACTGCAGGACAAAGGTATACAGAGGGCCGTTTATTTCTTAAATAAAATTTGAATAAAAACTTGACAAATAACCAATTTTAAGCATCCAGGAAACTAGATAAATTTGCTCTATGTACAAATATTTTTATGTTTGAATACTGCAATGAAAATTAGGAATTTAAATCATAACAGTTTGGCAAGCACTGTCTTCAGGGAGAACAGTACTATTCTCTACAGGAATTGGATTAAACAACTCATCCTATTTTATCCATCCCCATGGATGCAGTAGGATTAAATAATAGCCCCGAGAAAAGCTAGCTATCTTTCTAACAATGGAGTGATTGCCTGCCTACTAATACATGTGTAGATCCTGCATTCAGTGCAACAGCAGTAGCTAACTCTTGCTGTGTTTCTAACAGCCAAGAAGAAAGATGGCATTACTACCCAGGAAAGAGGAAAATTGGGGTTAAACCCATCCAGTATTTATATAGTATTTTTGTCTTTGGTGTTTTTCAGACATTTACTCACCTGATGACACCTAGTAATTGATTTCTCCTTTCCTATTTCTTGATCCTTGAACATGTGTTTAGATAGATGGTGGTGATAGATGGTAGGTAGGTAGGTAGGTAGAAAGAAGAAAGAAAAGAGAGGAAGGAAGGAAGAGAGGGAGGGAGAGAGGGGGAGAGAGGGAGGGATGGAGAGAGAGGGAGGGAGGAAAGACAATCAGTGTAAGGGAAAAAAAGGAATACAGGGCTAAAAGTTCTCAGTACTGGATACCCAGCATACCTGTTAACCGACATCCTTTATAATGAGTAAGTTAGTAGTAACTCAATTCTGTGATTCAAAACCTCTCTCTATGAAACTATTATCTACCTTAAATAAAACACATTATTTTTATCATGTCACCCTAACACTCTAATCTCCAACCTCCTATAACTGTAAGTGACTATGAGACTTTACATAGTGACATAGTAAAAATTTTCATACCAAATACTCTCCTCCTTGTCAAGTATTATTCATGAAGAATATATGGGAGTACATGCAGAGGGATGTTGTAAATTGTGCTGCTATGAACATTGGGGTGCATAGGTTCTTTTGTATTGGCGTTTTGGTGTTCTCAGGGTATAGTCCCAGCAGGGGAATCGCTGGATCAAAAGGCAGTTCCATTTTCAGCTTTCTGAGGAAATTCCACACTGCTTTCCATAGTGGCTGCACCAGTCTGCATTCCCACCAACAGTGGACTAGAGTTCCCTTTTCTCCACAGCCTCGCCAGCACCTGTTGTTTGTGGATCTGTTTATGATGGCCATTCTGACCAGTGTGAGGTGGTACCTCATGGTGGTTTTGATCTGCATTTCTCTAATGGCTAGTGATGCAGAGCATCCTTTCAAATGCCTCTGGGCCCTCTGTATCTCCTCCTTAGAAAAGCGTCTGCCCAGGTCCTTTGCCCATTTTTTGATTGGATCGTTTGTCTTCTTGGAGTCAAGTCGAGTGAGTTCTTTGTATATCTTGGAGATCAAACCTCTATCTGATGTATCATTAGCAAATATATTTTCCCAAATGGTTGGCTCCCTTTTCATTTTGCTGATGTTTTCTTTAGCCGTGCAGAAGCTTCTTATTTTGATGAGGTCCCACTTGTTTATTCTTTCCTTTATGTCCCTTGCTTTAGGAGACATATCAGTGAAAAAATTGCTGCGTGGGATATCTGAGAGTTTCCTGCCAATGTTCTCGTCTAGGACTTTGATGGTGTTGCGACTTATATTTAAGTCTTTTATCCATCTTGAGTTTATTTTTGTGTATGGTGTCAGCTGATGATCCAATTTCAATTTTTTGCATGTAGCCATCCAGCTCTCCCAACACCATTTGTTGAAGAGGCTGTTATTGCTCCATTTTATGCTTCTGCCCCCTTTGTCAAATATTAGATGTCCATAGAGACCTGGGCTTATTTCTGGGCTTTCTATTCTGTTCCACTGGTCCATGGGTCTGTTCTTGTGCCAGTACCAGATTGTTTTGAGTATAGTGGCTTTGTAGTAGAGTTTGATGTCCGGTATTGTGATCCTCCTACTTTGTGTTTGAGGCTTTTGATTTATGTGGAGTACACAAACATTTATCTGATCTTCTCTCAGTGGATAACTTAGAGCCAAAAGCTGTACCTGAACCACAACAACATGTCAGAATTTTTTCCTTTTGTCATCTCCTAATATACAAATTAGATACCATAAACTTATATTTCATGCAAAAATAAAAAAGGTCTTGAAAATCCTAAGGATTCCAATTTAAGAAATCATATTCTCCTAACATGCTCTTCAGTTTTTCTATTTCAATGCTATTTTGTACATTAGACTTTTTAAATGTTTGCATATACAGTGGACGAGTTTGAAATCTCACCTTGTATTTTAAAAGAAGAATACATAATTAAGTTTTGAAATTCAATGTCAATACAATGGCACAACATTATTATCTGATGAGAGACTAATGCTAAAATAACTGAATTATACCACTGTTAGCTTCTGAGATCAGTTTTAGAAGAAAAACCTTTGTAATTACAAAATATATATATATTACTAATCAAAAAATTCTCATGGCTCAAATTTTCTTTTAGAAAGATAGCATACTTAGTTTATATTAGTTCAGTATATTACATTATGACTTTTGAGTGTCATTTCTTTTTAAAACCTTTCCCATTTGCTTTTCAGTTTAATGTGCACATATAAAAACAAGTAATACCCCAAAGATGGCAATTACAGATCTGTATATTGATGACATTCTTGGTTTGTAACAGAAAGTAATCATACTTAACAATTATTTGTTCCTCACTTAGAGAAACTCAACCTATTTGGAGATTTTATCTACTTTATTTCATGATTTTAAAATTCAACACTATATACGTGTACCGAGTAAGTGGGCGCCTCCATTCATACTGTGCCGTTTGCTCCTGATCTGGGGTTGATCCACTCTCTATTTTTAACAGTTTGCATGTTTGTCTTCCAGATATCTTTTTATTCTTTCATTCATCTTGCTTATTCTTTTTCTCGTCTAAGCCTCTCTTTTCCTCTCATCCCCACTTCTGTCTTTTCCTTTCTCCCTCCCTCTTCCATCAACCACATGTTGTTGCCATGTCTTCATGTCAATACAAACGGACGTACCTCTGTCCTTTCAGCTGGGCCTGGAGAAGAACTGGCAGATGAACACAAGCTGCACGGTGGAATGCCCTGTCAACTGCCAGCTTTCCGAGTGGTCCGCTTGGTCAGAATGTTCGCAAACATGCGGCCTCACAGGTTAGTTTGTACCTTAATTACCATCAGACTAATGGTCAAAGAATAGGAAACAAAATGTCCCTCTTGCTCTCAGTCACATCAAATAATCTTCAGTGAGGTTGACTCAGGGTGTCTTTCTTTCCAAAACACTTGAAACTTATTTGTTCTTCACATCTCCTCAGGAAAATTGTGTGATACCTTCTCCCAATGATATATGCGTGCACAACCATACCATCTCACTGATGCTGCATCTCTTTGTATCTCTTACAGGAAAAATGATCCGAAGACGAACAGTTACCCAGCCCTTTCAGGGTGATGGGAGACCATGCCCTGCGCTGATGGAACAGTCCAAGCCTTGCCCAGTAAAGCCCTGTTATCAATGGCAATATGGCCAGTGGTCTCCATGCCAAGTGCAGGTATTGAGTCTCCAGAAGTCATACGGAAATGTGTGTTCTTTATGTGCAGACACTTGGTTTCAGAATTATTTTGCAGAGCTTACATATGGCATGTTTCCTCTTAGAGATTTTAAGTGCCTAGCCGTTTCATAACTAGTTTAATTAGTTTTGATAACAAGCCCTCCCTGTCCTGTATTTTAAAAATCATTTGGAGACTGATTCATTTTAATGAATTTATTTGCCTGTCTCTAGCTAGAAAACAAACAAACTGTTTATTGTATGCTCCTGTAGGACTTCCCTAGGGCTTCAAATGCTTCTTTAACTGCTCATAAATCAAAGTCAATGATGCAGAGATGACTTTAAGTGATGAGCTCACTCATGAATTATTTTTCTTTTCCTAATTAGTTATTTCTTTCCTCATTCCAGGATGCCCAGTGTGGAGAAGGGACCAGAACAAGAAACATTTCTTGTGTAGTGAGTGATGGGTCAGCTGATGATTTCAGCAAAGTGGTGGACGAAGAATTCTGTACTGATGTTGAACCCATTATAGATGGTAATAAAAAAATGGTCTTAGAAGAAACCTGCACCCAGCCTTGCCCAGGTAACAACAGCAAAGCATGAGTTATGTTTTGATCATCTCTTACCAGGACTGAGGTGGAGAGAGGTTGCATGTATAGTCTAAGTTAATGGGTGTCAGCAGTCCTCTCATTCAGCAGTACCTGTGCCAACAGCCAAACACTGTGGTGTGGATGAGCAACAGGCACCGCCTCCTCTGCCAGGCGGGGTGAATCCAGACCTCTCATGCGGCCGCTGTTGACACACACAAGTTTTAACGTCTGCAGAGGATGACAGTTAAGGCCTGAGGCTCATATTTAACAGGGAGAGTATGAAAGAAAATTTGAGAAAATAAGCATACAACACCCATCTATTTAGGATGTCTAGAAGAAAAGGATAGAAAATAGGAGAGAGGCAGCATTTAAACACATACTAGTGAAAGAAAAATTGATGTCCTTATAATGAAAACTTACTATAGGCCTTAAATAGAATCAACAATGAATTCATACCTAGATGTATTGTAGTTAAAATAGAAAATGCACCCTGGCTGGCGTGGTTCAAGGGGTAGAGTGTCAGCCTGCAAACCAAAATGTCACTGGTTCTATTTTCCAGTCAGGGCACATGCCTGGGTTGCAGGCCAGGTCCCCAGTAGGGGGTGCGTGAGAGGCAACCACACATTGATGGTTCTCTCCCTCTCTCTAAAAATAAAAATAAATCTTGAAAAATAATAGAAAGTGCCAAAAGATAGAGAATTATTAAAGCATTCAGGAAAAAAAAACAGATTAACTGCTTTTGGAAGACAAAATTAGAATTATAGCAGAATTCTTCTCAGTTACAATGAAATCCAAAAGACAATGGGATATACAGTCATGTGTCAACAAAAGGGGTGTGTTCTGAGAAATGCATCATTAGGAGATTTCGTCATGAACATTGTAGAGTACACTTACACAAACCCAGATGACTTAGCCTGTAAGCCTGTACAACATGCTGCTGGAGGAAATTACAATGGCATTTGCGTATCTAAACATCAAAAGGGAACGGTAAAAGTACAGTATAAAAGCTTAAAAGTGGTACACTTGTATAGTGCACTTATTATAAATGGAGCTTGCAGGACTGGAAATTGCTTTGGGTGAGTCAGTGAACGAATGGAAAAGCCAAGGACATTGCTGTATACTGCAATAGACTTTATAAACACTGTCCCACAAGCCTTCTCCCTGCTTCCTTCTGACAGGGTCAGCTATAGATTATTGTAGCTGTCAGTGCTGGTCCATAAACAGGGATGTGGGCTGAGTTGATTGAAAATACCGAAGAGAAACTCTCTGGCCAAGGCGTAGACACCGTAATGGTGACTGTCAGTGGGGAGTGAATGGTGGCCTGAGGGTTACTAGGAACAAGAAATGCAGACGGGGAGATGGAGGATCACAGGGGACTACCATGGGAGTGTGGTTTTGGCTATTGCACGTTGGAGCAGTGGCCGGATGAAGGAACTTGGTGGTATTCATAAAAATAGAGGGTGCTTAACGTGGAGAGGAGGTAGAACTGAGGACGCAATATTTTGATGTAGGATATTTGTTTTTCGTTCCATCGACCCTGTCTTACACAAACGGCTCTCTCTGGCACTAAATTGATGAAAGAAGTAAAATTCACCTGTGCTTTACATTATTACAGCCTGAAAACATTTCCAAAGTACAAGGACAGACTGGCTCCACACTCCCACAGAAAGCTTTTTACTAAGCACCAGTGGCACATAATACTTGTTTAAATGTTCCTGTGGACCTGTGTTGTTGTATAAGATAAACAAGAATTTACATCACTGTACCCTGAAAACCATCAGGCCAGAATGGGGAGGAACATAGCGTTCTCTGAATACATAGCACTGGGGGGACAGGCTCCTCTGTGCCGAAACAGGTAGCTGATTGTTGGGGATGTAATCTGTGCTCTCAAAATTGAGCTGCTCTGAGTGACAGGGAATATATTGTGAAGCCCCACAGATACTGCTGTCATCAGAGAAAAATAAATTCCTCCTGAATTATATATCCATCCATTTCTTACAGGAAATTCAGCTCCATTGAAATCTTATGGGACCACTATCATATATATGATCTGTAGTTGACTGAACCATTGTAATGCAGCACATTATGATATTTGAAATGTGATGGAAAATAATCATCAACCTAAAATTCTGTCCCCTGCTAAATTATCATTCAAGAGTGAAAAAAAATTGTATTAACAGAAGAAAACATTGAGAGAAATCATTCAATTGAATGAAAATGTATTCAATCATGCAATATTGGACAGGAGGAGTACATGCAGTAAAATGTGGAAAGCAAATGTTGTCTATCAAATAGTAAAAAACTAATTGGAATACAGAGATAAGCTAATATTTAGGAATTTGGACTTGATGCAGAGAACTTTAGGGTAGATAGAAGGTCAGAATAAACTCAGTGTCAAGTATTAGTCTATCGCCTTGAGAAAGATATGGAGGCAACAGTTGATTAGTGGCCTAGAAGAGAACAAAATTGAAAGTGAATTACCTATAATTTATTCTCAAATGGAAATTTTTTATTTTCCCAATTTGCTTATAATAACAAGAAAAAAATCTGTTTAAGAAATGTGTTACTTCAAATAAGACCTCAAAAAAAAAAATAAGGAATCTGTCAAAAAATTCTGATTGGGCATAAAATAGACTTTCTATATAAAAAGGATATAACTTAAAATTTTAAGGAAGGATGACATATTTTTTTAAATATTTTAATGTAATTAAGTTCCTCAAAGCTGGAAAACTTAACAACATGGGTTGCCCACATATTCACTCATCGATTTACTTATTCTTTAATAAGTAAATTACTTGAGGTAATAATAATGACAATTTCTATACTTTGTTTTTATGATTAACTGAATAAATTGAACAGAGCAGTAAATAAAATAACCTCTGTTACCTTGAACTATATGCTAGACTTTGAGAGCATTTCTCACTATGTATATTCATCAGTAATAATAGTTTTTGCACACACTGATCTTTTCATCTACTGAAAGTTAAGAAATATATATTTTTTAATTTATCTTCCTGGTCCTAGACAAAGTGTTGCTTCTTAGACATTCCCACACCTGCCAGTGATGCCCTTTTCCTGATTTAGCAATTATCCTCTTCCATTTCCTGCGCCCCCGACTGGCCTGATTTCAGGCGAGATGTCACACACAGTCTAACTTAATAAAGTCATTTGGCATCACAGCAGACGGAGATTAAGGCTGTGACAGCAGGCCCAAAGACTGGGGCCAAGGACTGAATCTTGGGGCTTTGATGCTTGGAACAGCCACATTGTCAGTACAAGTTGACCAAAGGTAAAAGTTGAAAAACCTACTTAGTCCAAGACCAAATCTCCAGTGCCAATAACAGTATCATCGTGACGCTTCCAACATTGAGCAGAACTGGAATCCTTGCCAGGCCTTGGCATGTGCTTTATTGTAGAGTCTCCCCATTTATTTCCATTATACTTCCTGAGCACAATCACCCACCTGCTTATTTATCAAGTGTTATTTAGGCTAGGCACTGGGCTCAAGGTTGGAGATGCAGTGGGAAACAACCCGCCCTGTCCTCATAGAGTTTACCATGTTATGGAAGAAAGAGTTGCTTCTCCAATAATGACAAAAATAAACATAGGATTAAAATCTGTGGTTAATGATGCAGAGGAAAACTGCAGCATCCCCTAATGACATAGAACAGGGCAAACACACCATTCTGATTAAAGTAATTACAAATCCGGGAGGAAGCTCTTCTTCAATAAATTACAGTCTGTCATTTCAGTTCCCCTTGTGTTGAGTTCCTTCAAAGGCGGGCTTTGAAAGCAAGCAGCATGTGACTCAATAAGCTTTAAAGAGTAAAATACTGAGGTAGGAAATGTGTTTCATACACTTAATTGTCATACATTGGGCAGTCATAGTGTAGTTTATTATTAAAATGGTTTGTATAGTCAGGATATAAAAGTATGTTTAGTATAAGGCAATGCCTTACTCTTATTTGCTCTTACTAAATCTCTGAAGCCTGACATGGATTATTTGGGGGTGATTATGATATAATTCATAGAACTACCATTAAACAATTTATTGAGTTTTGTTACAAAATACACTATGTTGAATGATATAAGCACAGAGGTAAAGCCTACTAGTAGAAAGACATGTTTTAATTCCATATAGTTCACAATCATTGAGGTGAAACTATATACATTCATATTGATAGAAATGTTTTAGTTTTAATAATTTCTCCTGCATAATTAAAAATTGAGTTACTCAAAAGTAGCATTTCTTAGGGGATAGAAATGTTCCTAAAACATTATCACACTACTTAAAAATTCTTACTGTTTTTTTTTCCTTAACACTCAAAATTTATGAGAATTTTCTACACTTTGGTATGACATTAGATAGAGTATTAATGAGATACTATAATAAAAGTCTACAAAAATTACCCTGCTTTACTATTATACGTATGTGTTAGTCACTAATTCATGTCTTTCTAGGATTTCTTAATCATGGCACAAAAAGTTTTTTCATTAATCAGGTATCCAGGAAACTTTTTGCTAATATTAGACAACTTCAGCATAATATAAGGCTATATGAATTACTCATATGATATGGCCTGGAATAATTAAAGTGATAAAAACCCCTTGTGTACTTGCCTATCATAATTTACTGTACCCTCTGAACAGTATCACCAAGCAGCCAATCATGAACAATGGATATGTATATGGTGCATTTCATTACGTCTTCCCTGTTCTCAAAACAATTGAAGACATTGATGTTGAACACATGATACACAATGGCCCAGCAGTTCCATTCCTAGGTATATATACATATATATAGAGAGAAATACATATATATAACTTCACCAAAAGATCCATACTAAAATCTTCACAATAACTGTATTCATAATAGGAAAAATGAACAACTCTCCACATGCCCATTAATAGTAGAATGGATATCAAAACTGTGGTAATTCATACAATGAAAGTAAATTGCAGCAATAACAATGAACAAATTAGAGCTATATATGCACATGATGGATCACACAAACATAAATGAGTAAAAGAAGCCAGACATAAAAAGTATATAAAAAGTCGATATATAACTTGAGGGGGGTTTCTGAGATTCTGAAAATGCTCTGTTGTTTGATTTAGGTATAGGTTACGTGGTATATAATAGTTGTGAGAACTCAGCTATCTGTGTTTATGATATGTGCATATTGCATGCATATTATTCTTCAATCAATAATCAACAAAAGGGGAAAGTGGGCTGCAGAGGGAGTTCAAGGAAATAGTGTGCATTATTGCCACTACAGCTGCTGGTTCAGCTGTCTCACCTTCACACCTCTAGGAAGAAATAGGAATAAAGCATAAATAGCATAAATACCAGCTTTCTCAGACTTGGACTTCAAGCGTTTTCAAAATAATGAATGTTTAGAAGACAAGTTTTATGTATATTTAGATTTTCTTTGAATAAAACCAAGTGTTTAATAAACCTGTTTACAATAATAATGACAAGTGTGGTAGTAGGTTTTCATCAAGTATTTGTTGTCTTTTAAGAGGAGGTGAATCATACAGACAAGCGCCTGCAAGTGATAGTTTATATTTGATAGTGTAACACAACACATATTCCATGCCAGTAACATCCACTGAGAAGATAACAGTATTAATGCAAACTTATAACGCTATATACAAACTTAGCAAATATCAAATACTTATCTATTACAAGTAGTATGTACTACTGACATACCAGCAGACATTTTCAGGGGGATTAAAAATAAAATGACTATCTGGCTAGTTATTCTTTATGCATAGAATATAAACTATAAACTACACACCTGTGTTTTGTAGGTGACTGTTATTTGAAGGACTGGTCTTCATGGAGCCTGTGTCAGCTGACCTGTGTGAATGGTGAGAACCTAGGCTTTGGTGGAATACAGGTGCGTTCCAGAGCGGTTATTATACAAGAACTAGAGAATCAACACCTGTGCCCAGAGCAGATGTTAGAAACAAAATCATGTGATGGTAAGTGCTGTGATTCATAAAATCTCATTTTAGTTTTGTGTTGATCAATAAAAGCACAAGATATTAAATTTTCTGTTAAATAAGCAGATTTGCCAAGCTTAAGGTTGAGATTGAATTAAGTGTGTGATTCTGAATTTTAAAGACTTAGAGAAGAAAAATCCCACAATCCTTAATAAATTAGATATGCAACATTGTGAAAATGTCTCCCAGTTTTATGAGCTAAAGAGCTGAGACAATAAGGAGCTCTTAATTTGTACACCTATAACAATCCTGATCATGTATGAATCTAAAAATATACTCAATGTATTTAAATCAAAAGAAAGAGTAAACAAAAATTACAAATCTACAGCAAACTGATTTTACTAAGTTTTCAGAAATTGATAAGTCAAAGTACTAGTAAGAATTTCTTTAAATTTAACATAAAACTATTTGACTATATATATTTATATGTCTGTATGTATATATGTATACTCTTATGGAGCCATGCACCAAATATAAGTAATGTATAGAATTTTTAATAAACACAGAGCATTAAATTGTCATAGTTTGGGAACACAGAAGTTACCTAAATGAAAACCAAAATATTGCTATCTAGTGGAGAACAACCCTGTCCTTCCCAATGGTGTTCAAAAAGATGGAGTATGACACAGGATAGCAAATAGATCCAAAATATCACATTTATTAATGAAAAGTTGGAGGAGAAAGATTAGAAGTTGAAGTAGAATGCTTAGAATAAAAGTCAAATGGTCTAAATGACTTAAGCCAAATGACTTATTGTTAAATCTTCCCAAACTTGCTAGGTAAAACATTCCATATGTCCTGGGACAGGGTAGGGGAAGAAGTAGTAAAAAATCAGGCGTTAAAATAAATGAAATAATTTCAAAGGAAAAAAAGAGAATTGTTTCCTCCAAAATAAGAATGAAATAAAATTAGATATCAATAACGTTACAATTGAGAAAGAAATTCCCCCAGGTTTGTGGTTTTTCATATTGAAAATAATACAGTAATTAATAAATAATAACATAAAAATATAATCTGTTTCACATGCTCACAACCATAAGCCTACTTTTGTCCCACCTGTTATATAAAGGAAATCCTACTTTACACAGATGTTACATAAACATACTCAAAGAATATCAACATCTCCTCTGGTCCCTGGGCCATACTTTGAGAGTTGCTATTCTAGAATAAAGAATTCCCACAATTCACTAAGAAAAAGCATAGACTTCAGTAGGGAAAAAAAGAAAAAGGCCAGAAGAGATATGAAGTCTGTCCAGAAAGAGTCCAGCCATTGTTAATATAATGAGAACAGTTTGTGTGACATCGATGTAATCTGTCACCAAGGAGAGTGGACTGGAATGCACATGCGTGAACAGTGACGACTTCACTCTACTAGTCAGTGGGGGTAGTAGACACCATTGAGTAAGGAAGAACCAGGAAGCTTGTACAAGGTTGAGCACTGAGGCATTGTTGTAACTGCAAAAAGGAAACAACCTGAAAGTCCACCCTTAGAGGAAACAGCTAAATAAATTATAGTAATTAGTACCAGGGAAGTCTATATAGAAGTTAAAATAAACTGCCTATATCTACATTAAAATCACATAGGAATATTTCATCTGTAACATTGACTATTTTTAGAATGATTCAGAGTATGATACTTTTTTAATTGTAAGACTGACTAAAAATAATAGCTTATATCATTTATGGACATATGTTTATATTTATAGTATATTTATATTAAAAGAATATTGAGAATAGTGGGTATTGCTGGACAGACATGGAAAGAGGTCAAATGAGAAAGAAATATACTAGAACATCAAGTTATGTTATTTTTTACTCATCAACAAGCAAAAAAAGAAAACTAAAGCAGATATGGCTAAAACTAAAGCAGATATGGTAATATTTGTTAAATGGCATGATGGGCGATTGAATATATTTATTAAATTATTTTCCATCTTTATATGTTTGATATTTCATGATATTTTAAATAAAATATAAAATTAAATTAAAAATATTGGTTTATATTAGATAGTATAACAGCAGATATGGAAAATGAGCTGAGATTTAGGTATATATCTGAAATTTTGTAGTATATGGCAACTTCAGGACAGTAAATTGACATTTGAATCATTTGAGATAGACTTACCATTTTTCAGCTGCTTATAAATATTGAATTAACACTCTGTCACCATGATTATCCCTCTGGACAGCAGAACGCTCCTGTTAATGTTTATTGTGTCCCGGCAGATGGGCAGTGTTATGAGTACAAATGGATGGCTAGTGCTTGGAAAGGCTCTTCCCGAACAGTCTGGTGTCAAAGATCAGATGGTGTAAATGTAACAGGTAAACCTCCAGTTTCTCTTTGTTCTTTGAAAGTCTTTCTGTAACCCATGTATATAAGATAAAGAAAATAATTGAGAAAAACAAAGATATTCTTTCAGTATTCAACACATGGTTGGATTCAGGACACCTGAGCTGTATACCTGCCTAGTGACCAATGACACCGTATTTTATTTTTTAATGTTTCAGTTAAATTCTCCCTCACTGTCATGACATGCTAAAAATAACTTTTTGTTGACTCTATCTGTTCCTGTGCCTTAAAAAGCAGTACTCACACAGACCAAGAATATAATTAAGGGAATAGGATGATATATGTCACAATATTTTTTCTTGAATTCAGAAATCTATGATTTAAAGTTTTTTATTAATTAAAAGGAAAGACCCATTGCTAAATTTCCAGCCCAGAGCACCTGAGCAGCTCATCTACTCTGTTCCAACACAAAAATTGTCATATGTCCAAGGAAGAAGTCCAAATGACAGACTTTTTTGAGTGTCCTTTATACCCAAATTTACTCCAAAAAACTACTCTAATCGGCAATTATTAAGTTTCTCTATCTGAGCCCAGTAAAGGCAAAGGATCCCAAGGATACCTTTGAAGAGGGAAAAAAACTTGACTCCTGATATTTAGTGAGGTATACCACCCTGCAAATTTCTCAGAAAAGTCAGAACCAGAACCTCAACCTTCAGCGCATTGACCCAAAGAACTATCGTCTCTTCTTAATTTATTTTTAAAAATATTTTATTGCTTACATTCTTACAGTTGTTCTAGTTTTCCCCCTTTGTTTCCCTCCACCTAGCCTGCCCCCAGCTCCCATAGTCTATCCCCACACAGTTGTCCATGTCCATGGGTCCTTCAAATGTGTTCTTTGACTAATCCCTTCATTTTCTTTCAGTCAGTCCCTGGCTCCCCGCTCCCTTCTTAGAGCTGTCATACAGTTCCATGATTCTATGCCTCTGATTCTGTTTTGCTCGTTTTTATTTTGTTCATTAGATTCCTCTTATAAGTGAGATCATATTACCAGAATCTCCATAGCATAAGAGCAGCGTGAGTATTGACAGCGAACTGTTCAGGGTGACCAGCTGACTTTCTGCCATTGCTTTGACCCTCTGACAGGGAGAAAAAGTGATGTGCGTTTGGGTGCCTCTGAGTATGTCCATTTATAAATTTAGCTGTAATACATACAGTAAGATAACAGGAGCAGGGATCAATATGCTTTTTGGAAAGCATCAATTTTTATATTCAATTTTAAATTACCTGGATTTATCGAAACCTAATTACTTATTTCCTCCCCATGAAAGCTGGAGCAGGATGTCAAACTGTATTCTTGTGAAGATAAGATAATATACATGAGAAATCTGTATCAAGAAGCCCTTGATAATAGCAACTCCGGGTGGACACATGCATAACAAAGGAAAGACACCTCCCGGGAAAGTCTTGGCTCTCTCACGGTATTATTTTCTGGGAGAAAAATCTATTCCAACCACATCATTCTAAGAGGCATGGCAAGGACAGAGCTGTGGGAGAGGAAGCAGGGGCTTTCTGAGCGGAAGGCATTGTAGAGATGGGCCCTCAACTCAGGAGTTGAAATGAGTTTCTTCATTCTTCTTTACACTATTCTGAAAGAATTTTACAGCTTCCCCAGAGGGTCCTATTTGTTTTCAATGTTTTTCCCCCAAATAATGATGCAAATAATATCCGTCTACCTTTTCATCTACATGTTAATATCTCTTGTCCCCCTGAAACTGGGGCTATTCCCCAATGCAAAGGTAAGTCAAATTTTAAAAGACATACCTATAGAAATTATATTGTAATTTCTTATTAATGCAGTATAGTATGAAATGTATTTATTTCTTAATACTATTTGATACCAAAAAGCCAAGGTGTAAAAGATCTGTGGCAAACTTTCTATGCATTCCTTTCCCATCTTTTAGAAGAGATGAGATTCTTTATGAAAATAGACAAGCAAATAAAGTATATTATCCACCTTGATGGATTGCTTTAATGTTATGAATAGTTATCCTTACAAGAAACTCAAGCCGCTGTTTTCCTTTTTCTTCATGTGTTTAATGATAATAACTTCAATATGGCCATTTAACTGCAACTGCCTTGCAATGACTAACTGCTTTCCATAACATTTTTCCTATGAATATTTTGTTTATAACATTGAGAGATTATGGCAAAAAATTAACAATAGTCACCCCTGAGAAATCCCACAGCATCATCAAATCCCATTAATAGAGGAAAAACTGTGCTTTGCTAAAATTCTGCTAAACTGAACAAACATGGTTTCAAACTATGAGTTCTTTCCACATCACCAATATTGTTTCTTTTTGACATCTATCCCCATCTTGATATAACAACTTAGGCACACTTGATACTATACTGGAAAAGAAAAGTAATCAATAGACAGCTGCAATGTCAAGTTAAAACTACAGTGCAAGCACACCCCTTAGTAACTACATTTGTTTTCTTTCCTATTCCCCCCAAAATCCTGAATTAGCAGGAATAGTGGTTTTTCTGAAAAAGAAATATACATTATAAAAAATGCATTAATGTGGTAGTCCATAAATTAAAGAGACACCTCAAGGGATATGAAAACTATTCATTTAAGTAGCTGAGAAAGAATTTTAACTTTAAAAGAAAATTAAATCCATTTTTTACTGCTGGACTTAGTCCCAGGAACGATGACAGAAATAGCTTGTGTTACACTCAGTGTTTTCGAAGCGGCAGCTGTAAAATCATCTGTCCAGCAAGCACTTGTGGAACGCCTGCTGAGTGCCAGGTACTGGGCTGCCTCCTCTGAATAAGTGCCTCCAGTTCCTAAGTAAAGTGGTCAAGGTTAAGCAAGTATTCCATAGTCAACTGCCCTCAGAAAAATCTGTGGGATTCCCAAAGTGTCTTAGGATTCAAAGACCAGCCTGTAGCAACAGTGTATTTTTGTCATTGCAAGAGATACTACTTGTCAAAACATGGTTTTCTGTTCTGCAGGGGGCTGTTTGGTGGTACGCCAGCCTGATGCTGACAGGTCTTGTCACCCACCGTGTAGCCAACCCCACTCGTACTGTAGTGAGGTAGGTCTGAATTCATTAGAGCAGACAAGGTAGCCTCCTCATTTGTCACCTCCCTGCCTCTTGTGCAATCGTTTCCCTTTAATAGATGCATGTCTGAGGCATACAAATTCTATTTGTGGACCACCCCTTTATCAGTATAAACAATTCTGCATGCATTTGCTTCTACTGTTAGAATAAGTTTGTGTGCAGTACCAAAAGTGTGTTTTTTTTTTAAATGTAGCGAAAACAGAAATTGCATGTAGCAAATCCCCAACATGATACTTATTTAAAGTCTTCTCTTCCAAAGTCAGTTCTGTTATGCTTTCAAAAGTCACCTTGTGTGCACAGTGGAAATCTTCTTGTTCTCCTGCAGGCGAGGACATGCAGTTGTGAAGAAGGGTACACTGAAGTCCTGTCTTCTAACGGTTCCCTTGAGCAGTGCACCCTCATCCCTGTGGTGGCGATACCCACCGTGGAGGACAAAAGAGGAGACGTGAAAACCAGTCGGGCAGTACACCCGACCCAACCCTCCAGTAACCCGGCAGGACGGGGAAGGACCTGGTTTCTACAGCCGTTTGGGCCAGGTGAAGCGACTAGATAGCACTGCTGTAGAATTCTTTAGTTACACATTTAATCAATGGCAGATGATTAAAAAATGAGCAAGCCTTTTCACATGAGCTATTTATTATTTCTCCGAAAGTCATTGGTTCTGATTCTGCCGTAGAATCTCATATTTTTTTTTTACTATTTTTATGAAGGAAGCACTCATGCTCAAAGTTCAGAAAAATGAAATTACTTTCTTCTGAGGAAAAAAAAATGTTAGGATTCACATTAGTTATTCAATCTCAGTCCTAAATTTACAAGTGTAATTATTTTCATGTTGAACAAAGAAATCTAACAATGAAAATATTAATTAGGAAAAAAAACAGGTTATCATTCAGTACTTGAACAAACAAAACTATAAAGGCATTCAAGAATTTTTCATTTGACCACACAGCGGTAATAATTGGAACCTAAAATAGGGACATTAGTAATGCAGCACTGTGCCAGGGGTGGGGCACTTGGCAGCCAGAGCAATTTCTATCAGCCCTGAGAGTTGGCTCATTCAAAATCTCAGAGACTTTACTAGTACCAGATACATGGAGGGAGGGAGGGATGGAGCCTTCCTGTCTAGGTGGGACCATCTTGGAGACTGACCAGACCCTTGTCCTATTAGACAACTCTTAACATGTCTAGTAATGGACTTGAAGCCGATACAGGCAAAGGCTTGAAAGCCTGATGAAGTACTATTCCTACTCTGTGTGCTTTCTCTCTCCAGTGGATTTAACCATATAACATATGCCTAGGAATAAGCTGAGGCTTAAACATGTGCTACGAGGGCTGGATGGGAGCTATGATCATGCCACTTTTTCTCACACCAAGAGGGATGACTAGTTCACGACCAAAGGAAATATCCAGGCAAAGTCAGACATAGTTTACTTTATAACTCTGTCAGAAATATGAGAAAGGAAGAAAGAAATTTGCATAGCTAATACATCTTTATTTTTAATGCATTAAGTCAAAATATTTTCCCTTAGTGGAGAATCACTGTTGGGATTTTTTTAAATATTTTCAATATTTGGAGTGGTTCACATATAACCACATCATTTGAAAAAACATTTTATTTTACAAAGCTGACTTGTCCATGTAAACATGGGAAACTCTTCTCTGGGTGTTCAAGAGAGTGGACCAGCAAATGGCCAGCAGCAATCTTGACCTTGACTAAGAATCCAAGTAGGTCTCCTCACATCCAAACTAGTTTTTAAAAAGAGAGAATATTATTATTGTCATATTTAAACACTAATATAGGTTTAATTGCATTTTTGCATCAGAAAATATATGTTGATGTGAGGGTCAAATCAAGTTAACAAAGTCATTAGTAGTTCTTTTTGAAGTTTATTCAGAACATAAAACTGAGAAGTTCAAATAGAATGAAACCAGAAAACCAAATTAGAAAGGTCTCGATCCTGTCTGATTTTATATACAGATTTCCCCTTGCTATCTGAAAGTCAAGTGCTCCTATGAAACCTTTCGTAAGCCAAAGTGCCATAAAGCAAAGAAGCAGTTGCCACTAATTTATATGGAAAAAATTTTAAGCAGCCCCAGACCCAGAAAATCACCTACTAATCCATACCAAATATACTCAATTATATCCAGTTTCACACTAAGCATAACACCCTTATGAGATCTCTTAGGTTTTTCTGATACCTTGGGACACATCTTGCTAACAGATGCACAAAGTAAATGGAGATAAAGCCCAGATGTTCAAACAGGTCAAAACTGGGCAGCTTGATGCCGAGATGCTTCGTGTGGTTCCCAGGGATGGAGCCTGGTGGGGCCACTTTCACTGCCTGTAGCAGACGCTACCTCTCAAACGGCTCGCTGCAAAACAAGCGCTGAATGCAAACTGTTGCTTTTCACCACTTTTCGTAAAAGAGAAAATTATCTTTGGATTTCTTTCAGTTATCGAAAACAGGAGCTAATATAGGTCTTCTATAAAAGCAAAGTGGCATAATGGGAAGTCAAAATGCAGGTAATACCTGTAATAGTGAGATGTAGAAAGAATTGATTTAGAGATCCTTTTATATGTTAATCAAACTTGGTTATTTTTGCAATTGATATTGTCAAATCAGCTTTCAAGGACAATGCAAGTGTAAACTAGATAAAAGATTATTAATTCCAAAAAATGTTTAATATATTTATTTTCAGTTCCTCTGGAAAAAAAGGTTAAAATGACAGAGTTTGTGTTTAAATAACTGTCTGCATCAACTCTAAGTTATGGGACTTTTTTGCAATTGCACTATTTTTCTTTTCTCATAATTGCCAATCTCAAAATGGAATCAAATCAAAAGAAAATGTTTATGTAGCATTATACATATATTAGACTTGAAGTAAAAGTCAGGTAAGAAGCAGCAGAAACTTAGACATATTAACCTGAAATCTGAACTCAAATTGAAAATGTTATTTATTATTTTCAATTCAATTTTTATTGATAACTTACTTTTAATGAAGGAGAATCTAAATCATAATAGCAGCTTTGCATTAATCATTAATTGTGCCTGAGCAATAATTCATTTTGAGTTTTGAAAGGACTTAGTCATATGCGACTGGTCCATTGGTCATAGTTAAAGATTCATTTATATGCCAAACTAATGTAAATTAATGATTAATATCCATTCTTCTTAGATGGGAGATTAAAGACCTGGGTTTACGGTGTAGCAGCTGGGGCATTTGTGTTACTCATCTTTGTTGTCTCCATGATTTATCTCGCTTGGTGAGTGTTGAAATATTTCAAAATCTAAGAGGATAAATGATCTTTCTATTTTTAGAGGGAACACTTTCAATTGACCGTAATGCAGGAATGGCAAATTAATGTCTCAAATAAGCATTCCATGTTTATTTAGCACTTACCTGAAGTTCTAAATAAACATGCCTTTAGCCTCAAGTAGTCTAACAACTACCAAGTCTGAGTCATTTGTGTTCGGAAGATGAGCCAGAGCTGCTCCAGGCCAACTTCTCAGGCACATCCTCCTTGATTATGCAAGAGAATATGCTTTTGGCGAACTGTAGACTTTTATATTGAATTAGTACTGGAGAAAGATATTATGCTAATGCCTAATCTTATTCAACTATCTTTTTATACATGCATTATTTATGAATTATATATTATTTATAAAGTTTTCTGGCCAAATATACATGATTAAACTATAATGTTATTTCTGTTGTTAGTACTAGGGGAATTCCATTTGGATAATTAATTTTTTATATGATAATATAATATTTGAAGGGTTCTGTTTCAAGTTTCTTCAGAGCATAAAACTGAGAAATTCAAAGATCCCGGAAAATCAAATTTTAAGTTTGAATTTAGGCAATGTAGGCAATTAAGTAATTTAGGTTTTCCATATGTTTCAAACTTTTTCATTTAAAACAGTAATATTTACAGTGGAAGATTGATTTTTTTTCTCCCAATTTTAACGATTTTTTAACAGCAAAAAGCCAAAGAAACCCCAAAGAAGGCAAAACAACCGGCTGAAACCTTTAACCTTGGCCTATGATGGAGACGCAGACATGTAAAATATACCTTATCCTGTGGCAACCAATTTCAGCTTTCTGATTTTGCAATAGATATCCAGGGGCCAAAAGCTATTCAAATTGTGTGAACTAAAATTCATTGCACCTTTTTCAAAGTGCATCATTTAGGAGAGGGCGAAAATCACAGTGCCATTGGAAATATCAGGATAAGACCACTTGCATAGAAACTATCAGCCCTGAGAAGTCTAGAAGATTAAGTTGAATACATGCTGCCTTCTGCGAGTTTTGTGAATGATCTTTCATGAAACCTACCTACTGGCAATTTACTTTCATCTCTAACATACGGTGGCGGAATTGGCCATTTGGGATGCCCAATGCAAGCCTCTGTCTACAGTGTTAACCCATAATAACATTTTAGCATGAAGACATTATACCAAAATCTCTACGATACTATAGGCGAGCATAACATCATGTATACTCAACTGAATGCTACGTATTATTATGTCAGATTATATACTTAATAATAAGCCATTTTTATGGTGAATAAAAGATAAGCTCTAAGCTGAGCAGAAAGCCCATTGAGTAAATTCAGCATCTCGGTGGTTGCTGGTAGCTTTTACTGACCTGCATTTCAGAGGCAAAGACTTTTTATAAGACTTAATTCTTGTCTTTCTCCAAAGTATGAATGCTGGACATGTACTAGTGTCTTAGAAGAGTTCTCAAGTTCAGTATTTTATAGTGGTTATTGTCTGGAAAACTCATTTGCTTGTGTTACTACAATAAGTTTCTACTTTCCCCAATTTCAAACTGGTTGCCTGCATCTTTTTTGCTACATGGAAGGCACAATTTTGCACTATATTAGTGCAGCATGAAGGCATTTAACCAGTATTGCCATAGAAACCGCCTCTTTTCATATGGGATGAAGACCTCTCTGCCAAGAGTGTCATGGAGACATTTACAACTTCCTGTATCCTGAAGAGAGTCAAGTTTGTTTTGGATGGCGACAGGATGGAATTAGCTATTACATCTGCTGTATACACTTCTCCTCATCACTGCAGCCATTGGGAAATCAACAACGTGGCGGTAATTTAAGTGTTTCAGTCCCAAAGTCATCAACCCTCTGAAAGATGGATCCCTCTAGTTGGTTTTTAATTGTACTTCAAAGGCTGTTTATGACTAGATTTTTATATTTGTTATCTTTGTTAAAAAAAGAAAAGAAAAGAAAAAAAGGGGCTGGTTGTCTTCTTAATTTTGAGCAGATGGAGAAAATAATGTATTGACGATTTTTTGTACCTGAAGGAAATCAAGATTGTGTGTTGATTTTTCCCCTCTGATTTTTTTTTTCTAGTTTTGGATCAAATGCATAGTTTTGTCATTATTGCTGGTAAAATTTGAAGTGGTCTTTTTAATTTATGAATTTGAAAGCTAAAATTTTAAAAAAGAGAAAAGTATTTTGTCCAGGACTTCGTTAAATATCTAACCAAGGGTGGCAAACAACTTCTGTGAAGAGCCAGGTGGTAAGTATTTTCAGCCAGATCTAGGCTGCAGCTTCTCAATTCTGCCTCTGTTAGAGCGCAGCCATAGAAAACACACAGCACAGTAAAGAGTAAGCATGGGTGTTTTCCAATAACGTTTTCTTAAACAGTCAGCAGGCCGCATTTGCAGGTCATGGTTTACTGACCATTTGTCTAGAAATTTATTCACGGCTAACTCTTCATTGTGTCTTTAGTTTTCATTCATTTACCTGAGACTGAAATCGGTGTTTAATTTCACAGGTGAGAAACTGTCATTAAATGTATCACTGTGTTGGAAGTAGCTATATTTTTACAGCTGTAGGCCTGGGAATGGCACAGTGAAATAATATCTAACTTGGCAGACCTCTTTCATATGAAAAGAAAATTCAAAAGGTGCCATTAAAGAGCAATACCATTTTTCAGGCAACTTTTACTGCAACAACCTTTGGGAGAGGGGGTAACATTAAGGTGTCAGATCTTTTAAAAATAGTATAACAGCTATTTTTACCTTAAACATAGCTGTGTTGCTATAGAAGTGATTTGGAAAAGAAGGTGTCTTACCTTCATACTAGAGTTTGAACTCCCTCTGCTGTTCCTTAAAGTATTTGCAAAAATTCTAGAAGACATTGGATTAGGATGTCATTTTCGCCAAAATGAACAGATTTCTACATATGTCAATAAGAATTAAATGTGGTAAATGCTAATTTGTTATTCAATATTTATTGTATTAAGCAATGTAAATAATTTCAAAACAAACAAGTGGTCAGGAAGATCAGAATTTTACCTTTAACCAAGGAATTAAATAGGGAAAAGCATAAAAACAAATTCCATTTCTCTGCCTTATTGAAGAGGAAGACAAAAAATAATATGTTACTCTAAAACTGTGATTGCCAATATAGGTATGTACTCAGAAGTCTTCTAGAAAATTGATCTCTTTGAAAAAAAATGAATTCCATTTGTCCAAAATAGTAGAGAATCTAATTCAGCTAATAGCCTTATGAAATGCGTGCAGTTCCTAATAACATTGAAAATTAATGAATAAAGTAAAATATTGTTGCTACTAAAGGTATACTTTAATACTATAAAATATCATTAATTCAGAAGGCAGATCAGTATTATCCTACCTTTATTATATGAATTAATCAAAATTATAAAATGTTATAAAAATACAAGATGACTTTATTCATAAATTGATTACACTTTACAACACAATGTATGTGCAGGAGACTAGGTTTAACATGACCTAACACTAAGGTGTATATTGGAAGTTCATTGTTAGATAAACAAATACTGCATTGCCTCCCGTTGGGCTGGAAAGAGGGGAATGTCGCTAGCTGGCTATTTTGGACAAATGAAAGTTATTGTGTTCATGTTTATAACATGAAAATGGCCTTATTTTTGTTTCTGGCATGAGTCAATAATGAGTTAAATACCTTACTGAAATTTCATCAGAACCTTATTCCTCCTGTCCATTTTAAGAATTCAGGAGGGCAATATAATAATAACTTGTCTATTGACACTTCTGCCTTACCAAAATGGTCTGAGTCCAAAAAAGGTTTACAACTACTGTTGTGTTAAGTATGAAGGTCTACTTGGTTTAAAAAAAAAAAAGGAAAGAAAAGAAGAGGAGAATATTGACACAGTGTTATACTATTTTGTTGGACTGTTTCAATATAATCCACACAGATGCAGCATAATTGATCTCTCTTGAAAGGGGTTGATTTGCTCTTTCATTAATACCTTATCTAAGATCTTGACCATAATCCTTATTTCAAAGCCTTTTTGAGGACTCTACAGTGTAGCTTAAGTTAATTTGAAAATGAGTACATAAAAGCATGTTCCTAATTACTTATAGCAAAGCACAAATTTCTTATAGCAAACAAGTATTTACTGAATTATCACAGGTAAGACACTCTGCTAGGCATTGTAAAAAAAAATTAGTAATGGCTTTTGTATACATATGTACCTAAGATATTTGAAAGAAGGAACAAATGCTTAATGAATGACAATAGCACTTACACACATTGCCCTTTAGATCTGTTTTTCAATGTGGTTAGTATTTTTCCTCACTGAAACCACTTCACCCTCAGACAGGTGGCAATGGTCATTATGGCTTAATTAGGACACATCTTAAATTCCTGAATACCTCAAGGTAAAGCCACTTATTTCAAACTTCTTACAGGGAGAAAGTAACACCTCTCATGATTTTTTTTCCTCCTCCAACTCCCTACGTCCTTGCTCCTTTGTGAGGGCTTTCTGTGCCTGGTCTCTTTTTACTCTGCTCTCATATCAACAGCTAATCTTGTCTACTCTCCTCAGAACCACCTTCTACTAAACATGCCCACATTTTTAATAAGAAAAAACAAGAAGTGAATACCCATATTTCCTTCCTCTTAGAGTCAAAGTGTCACTTGAATGTGAACCTATTGATTTAAACTGAATGTATGGGCCAAAGACATGAGTACAGAGGAAAGATACAGGTGACATGCAAAAACAAAAACAAAACAAACAAACAAAAACCCTTTTCTGCAAGTGTTACTTCCTACACTCGATTAGCACAACCCAGTATCCTCCAACGCCTGTACCGTCCGCACACAAAGAAGAGCCCATCCTTAGGCTGACTTGGGATCTGAATCCATTTGCAAAAATCATCCCCAAATGCTCTGGGATGTCACTATTTGTAACAATATTGCCAACACAAATGTGTTTTTTGTTCAGTTTCCCCTTTAAGACTGAGGGTGTGGAAACGAGGGCAGTCCTCAAACAAATCGGTGAGGAACCTTGCAAGCCAATAATCACTCCTAGGTCAAGTTTAGGTGTGCGAACTGAGGCGTCTGCCTGTCCCACTGGCCTGGCTTCGGGCGGGCGTGACTGCAGAATGGGCTTTTAGGTCTGAAACAGGAGTGTGGACCTAGCAAATGTTACTTTTTATAGGACATATGTGTGATGTGATAATTCTGGATCTAGCAGGGATATTGAAAAAATGGTTATAGCTGCATTATTAAATAAGTCAAATAAATCCAAGATGGGTAGAATTAGTTTTGTAGTTTTATGTTTTCATGCTTCTACCAAGCCAGACCTTGAAATGGGCAATATATGAAGACTTATAGTTTGCGGGATTCATGTTGTCAGCGATCAAAATTCTCTATTTAGATATATAATTGGGTGTCAGTCTTGTTGTGTTTTGTAGATGTTCGTTTTTTTCCCAAAGCAAGGGTTCCTAGGTCACCACTTTGACCCCTCAATGACTTTTCTCAACACTTTTCAAGAATCTATTTGTGTTTATTTTTAAAAAGTAAACATTAAGATTCCCTTTCTGGTACTTTTTCCTGCCTATTTCTAGCACAGAGATTTGAATAGGTTAGTATCTGTCACTGTAAAATATAACTTTGTTAAATTTGCAATATGTCTTTCTATAAATTATACTCCCTTAAATATGGTTTTTAGTTAATTTAATTACCTGAATATTTATTTTGTTTAAATAAGGAGGCAGCTGTCTAAGAAGTTTTTGTTAATATTACTTTGTAAATTGTGTAATGTAATTTATTTTAAATTATGTACATTTCTTTTTTAACGCACAAAATGTCTATGTACTAATTAACTGCAGATTTGCAAACAATGCCACTAAGCTTTATTCAGTTAATACAGATGGCATGTGAAGATGTAATATGCTTTTTTACATTTTCATATGGGTAATTTGTAAATAATTATGTTGCTGACAAACATAAACATGGAAATCATTTTCATTCTATTCATGTGTATCTGTTTTAATTTACATTATTTGCTACTCGAGTGTGGGTTAAATTCTTTTTCCGTGAATGTGCAAATCCTTTTACTACTTTTATTGCCTGTTTCTGGATTTTTTTTTTTAACAGCTCCAATTTAGAAAGTTCAAGAGATGCAAACCTTTACTTTAGTCCCCCAAGGCCACCAGATTTACCATCATACACAAAGGATGTCTTGGTTTCCAAACTTAAAAAACAAGGCAGGAGCTCACACATTAACAAACTGATTCCTGTAATTCCCCAAATTAAGTAAGATTCACACATTTACAAAGCACAAATTACATAAATTACTGGCAGGGTAGCTTGCAGGTATAATGTTTTCTGAAATAGCTGTTTACAAAAATGCAAATAAGCGGGGGACCCTTAAATACTCAGTAGAGGAACCACTTAAAATGTGCAGCTTGCCTCCAATGCTTCGTGTAAAAATGGTGATTTGCAGTCTCATTTTCTTTATTCATTACAGTTGGGTCTAGATTTTAAAAAATGTTTTTACATATAACTCCCAGATTATTTTTTATATACCGCTGGACATTCATGATCATTAAATCCCTAACTTCATTTTTTATTTTGCAGCTCCAGTGTATGTCCTGCAAACACAAACAGGAACATGGCTGGGCTACAATCTATAGCTGCTTCTTCTGAGTCCCTAGGGACTCCTTTGATTAAACTCTGAACACATTCCAAAGAAAGGCCAGCACACACCTCAACCTACAGCTCTCATCTGTCAATTACTTTCTAAAGATTTGAGATACACACAGCAGTGCTTAGTGCGGTCATGCTTTCTGACATCGCCTGTTACGTTTCCTTCCTTTTTTCAGTGGCATCCCCTCCCCCTTCCCGCTGCCCTCCCTCGCGTCTCCCTGCAGGGGTAGCTCAGCTGGGCAGTCTGCTCGGTGCCCTGCCGTGTATTTCTCCCTGACCACATCATCTCATAAACCTGTTGGGGACGGGGGAAGGGGACGAGGGGAAGAGAGAGAAATAGGCTGGGTTTAGTAGATATAATTAGAAAACAGCTTCGTTTTTTTCCTATTACTGTTTTCAAATACAATAAAATGTCCTTTGTCCCCACCTCCAGCCCTCCTACCATCCCACCTCTGTCAAATCCAAGCCAAATGCCATAGTTTTGGGTCAAAATTTAAGTGTCGAAAAAGTCCCAATCCTGGGAAAAAGAGATCATCAATCCCTCTCATTGTCTTCATTTCCTTGACTACTAGCAAATTTGAGCAACCTCTCATTTTCTCACATATCTGTTGGCTATTTGAATTTGGATTCTATTACATCCAGTATTTAAGTGGCAATTCTAGTGATGCCAAGTGGCTGTAAATTTTAGGCCATCAACAAAATTTTAACATTTTGGTAACGAAAGAACCTTGCTGGGTTTTATTTTTCCCAAAGCTATTTTTTTAATCCCAGGCAGAGATGCTCTTGCAATAGCCCCTGCCACCTCACCCCTCCCTCCCTCCTCAGCTCTGTGCTATATTCTGGGCATGCTCACCCCTGTCTCACACTAACCCTCGTAGACAGTGTCACATGCTAGTGCTAAAACTCGATCCCAATCTTCTACTAAAACCATACACTTTTCTCAGAGCTCTGCCCTTACTGTTACCTCTACCTGGAACACTCTTCCCTTTAATATAGGTCTGCTTTCTCACTTCACACAGGTCTCTGCTGAAATGCCACCTCCTCCGAGAAGCCTTCCTTGACCACCCCATCACTATTGCCATACCCTTTAGCTGTTTCTTTTTTTTAATGGCACCTGATATTATTATTTGATTTGTGGTTGTTTTTTAATCTCTCTCACACATGGGAAACGCTAAGCCATTATCTGTTTTGTTCCTTGCCTAAAATGAAGCCCGACACATAATAATGAATTCTTAAGTGAACAAAAGAATTAATAATTGGTGAGGCTTATGGACAGAGTGGTTAAAATTAAATAGCTGACCAATTATAAAGAAGCCACTAGGATTAAGAGACCAACTAATTCATCAGAAGACTGAAATGGTCACCACTCCATCACTAATACTTTTTCTATTTCTTTCACTTGCCAGAAGCATGTTAACCTAAACTCCTTAGAAGGCGCAATATCGGGACAGGGACAGGACAGTAGCAAAGCAGTTTAAGAAATGAAACCAGTGGTGACTGAGCCCAGCATCACAAGGGAGTGGCCACTGAAGACAGGCCAGGAAAATGTAGATGGGATTTGGGAAACATTTGAGAATGAAGTCTGTATAAGATAAAACTCTGTCATAACTTTTTCTCAACTTTAATTTCATTGCATGGCCAGGTATGAAGGAGGTGGGAATACTTGGAAATGAGGAAGGGAGCATGATTAAGGGAGGGACACTCTCCAATTCATAAAAAGTTATTCTGCCAGGATACAAAAGCAGCCTGCTCATCCTATAGCCTATTCAGTCCTAAACTATATTAATCTATTTTATGGCATCAGTAGTAGTCCAATGATTTGCTTTAAAGCAGAAATAAAAAAAGAACTGAATAAAGTTATAACTCAAAGTGTTTCCCAAAACCCCAGAACTCACTTTAGAACAATAGAAGGGGACATTCCACAACCACGAAAATACATCGATAGGCCATTTAAAATCCACTCCCTGTGGAATATAGTGTCTTGATTCCCTGGAAAAGTAAAAAAGAATTTAAAGGTCAGAGTCAGCCAGTAGGTCCAGAAAGTAACCCAGAGGAGAAAGTCAGCATCTCAAGGGGAGGGACAGGTCTGCATCCCAGTCTTTCCTAAACAGTGACTACAGTGACAACCCCGTCAACCCATCCCCAGTCATCCTCCACCTGCTACGCTGACGACGGATGATGTATAACCGCGCCCT